GATGGGGCTTTGAGCAACCTGGTCTAGTGGAAGGTGTCCCTGCCCAGGGCAGCAAGGTTGGAACTGGATGATCTGTAAGGTCTCTTGCAACTCAAACCATTCTATGATTCTGTGATTCTATGATTTCTGTAAGAAGCACTAAGTTGTCCCTTCCCATGGCAGGGGGGTTGGACTAGATGATCTTCAAAGTTCCCTTCCAACCCAAGCTATTCTGTGATTCTGTGAAAATCTTCACAACAGACCTGCAGTCTCCAGTTGTAGAGACACAGGATGAAACTGGTCACATAAAGCCTCTTCTCCATCAAACTCTCCAGGCTAAATCTCTTACCTCTAGCAGCAAGCTTGACACATAGTCGCCAACACCTTCATCTCACTCTCAAGCTTCAAAAATGCCATTTTCATATCTTTCCACTCATATCTGCAACTGATAAAAGTTAATCATCCAGTCAACAGTCTTCCATTCACAAGCATGTTTTCAGACTATTCACAGCCAGAGTATTTCACCACTTTTACACTGCTACAGTCAACATATTTTTTCCAACAGCTGTATTACCGCTTCTTAGCCAGTAGGCAGCACCACAAGTTGGACAAGGACACTAGGGTAGACACCTTGTATGGAACAGAGAAATCGCACGTTTTCTACCATTCTTCCCCCTTCAAGCAAGACTGGAAGAAGGAAAGCTAGCTGAGGACAATGTTCCTGTTACTATGTTCACATTCGATTTAACATGGATTTCTTCCATCTCCTGAGTTTATACAGCAACTCTGTCTTACAATAACCATGGCCTTTCGTTTAATTAGCTCGGTGAGAGCAGCAGCAGTCAGGATATGCACAGCAGACCCTCGTGAGGTGCTGAAGCAGCACTGGAGGTAGAGCTGCACACGTACAGCAGCACAGAATGACTGGTGGCACTGTTTCCTGTTCAACACTGCCCCAACACAGCTGTTCTGCTGCTAGACCTGCACTGGTGCATTCACGTAATACCACATGGAGGAAGAAACTAACCAGGTTAGTTCTCCGCAAGCTGAGCGACCCTGTCCTTAGCACAGTGTAGACACCTCGCATTTTTGAGGGCCTATCTCTAGTTGACACTGGCAGAGCATACCTGAAACATCTAGATCAGAACCACAGATTTGCCTCAGGTTTTCCTGTCGGGACCACCAGGTCTTTCTAGTGAAGAAGGAATCAGTCTCACTTCTGAAATATAGGGATCGCACCTCATTGTCTTTTTCTGACCTTTTGTTCTCTACCAGAATCTAAACCTCCTTTCCCTCTTTTCTCCTGCATAATTTCTCTACCAAAATCTAAACCTCATTTCCCTCTTTCCTCCTGCATAATGTCAGGGTTGGTTAGTCACAACCTTCAACTTAATTCCACGTGACCAATGACCAGCCATTCACCTTTTCCACCTGGTTATTAACATTAATGTCCAGGTATGTGTGCATAATCTACAAAACATGCCTGAAAAGCCCCTCGAGCCCTTAGCAAATAAAAGATTCTCTGCTCATCTTAGTTCTGCTTGCCATGTTACCACCTTCTGCCATGGTAAGTGCTACATGAGCCGTACACTCTACTAGGTCCCTGGCCCTGTGCTCTTATACAGCTATATAAATGCACATCTGGATCCCAGCTGTGCTCCCTTCACTATTCAAGAGTTTGATCTGCTTTTCAGGGAGCTTCTGAAACAATTCAATAGATATCTGCAAGACAGTGCAACACAGCAACTTGAAAGCAACTTGGAAAGTGAGCTAGCTTGGCAAAGGAAAGCTTTCAAATCATGTAAGCTTGCAGTAGAAGAGCTCTTTCCTTTTCCAAAATAATCAAGTAACACCTTAGTGTTTCACTCCGTATCAGTGCCTTGCAGCTTTTGTCTGTACTCTTAGCCTGTACAAACTGCTGGTCAAATAGTATGGCTGAGAGTCTTCCATTTAAAAATCAAAAGCAGCTTCATGAACTGACAGTTCTAGACTGGTTTGACAGGACATAAAAATTCCCCCCTACACCTCTGCAACCAGTAAAACAAAAAGAGAAAAGGGACAGTCATGCCAAAAGGCAATCATGCAGCCATATGACCATGTTAAAATCCACGTGGGCACATGCAAGCTTTTCCTAGTGGGAAGAAGGGAAAGGTTGCCTGACACTATCTTGAAGTTTAAAAAAAAGTGCATAGAGAAAACATATATACAGCTTTGCATATTCAACTGTTTTCAAGATGTTCCAAAAAAGCTGACAGTACCGGTTCTGTGTAAGTCTATGCTCAGAAGAGGCAATACTTTCAAACTGTATCTCCACGTAATACAGCCGGACTAAAGAAAACCTTTGCTCCAGCTGCAGGCCTGCCTCTAGGCATGGCTAGTAGCTCTTTAGCACCTATCCCACAGAAACGTACCTTGCGCACCATGATCAGAAGGAAATAAGTACAAAATGACGTCCTTTGCCATAACTGAAATGCAGGTTCAGTTAAACTGATTAAAATGTCATCCAGATATTTGGATTACAGTGATGGAGACAGCCCAGTACATAAAACAACATACATTTATTTACCACAAAAAGGTCCGTATTCAAATAGAAGTGTTTGTCTGCTTTTTCTAGTACTTCCTTACAGCACTTTGCTTCTTGAAAAAGTAAAGAACCATCATGACTAACACAACGACATACTAATCATTTTGCAAAATGATTGTTTTATCCTATAATTGTAGGCCTGATAGCAGCTTATAAACTGTAAGGCAAATCAGGAACTTCTTCTCAAGTGAGTAATCTCTATACAGTTCCATTAACACAAGTGGAACATTCACAAGAGAAATGTTACAAGACTAGGACATTATATACGACTGCAGTGTTTACTATAATTACATCCAACATAATACGCAGGGCCAGGGTTATATTCTCAGACAGAAAGAGACAGACAGACCACCGAAAGACTAAGTTGCCAGAAACACTTATTGACTGAGGAAAGAAATCCAACCATTTTGCATGTGACTGCATGACATAATTAAGCACAAGACCCATTTCAGAGAAAACAGTAAGCTGACATACAATGCTCAGAATTAGGACATTATGGACTTCAAAGCCTGCCACTTTCTTTTAGAGACAAATACTCGATACTTGTTGGTAAACAAATGCTGATCGCTCACAACTGACAGCACAGAAATTTTACTTGAAACCTGGTTCCATTAATGACATAGCCACAATCACGGGATACAGAAGACCATCCAAATCATACTGCAGATAGACTTTCCATAGCTTCTCCTTTGCTGAAGTTCCACTGCCTTAAGTGACTGACATCAAAGATGCGCTGCAACTAGTTCAGTCTTCCCTCCTGTAGTTATCACCTGGATTAGACTCCCCGAGTTTGGCCGATTCATTCCTGTTATCCAGTTGTAAAAGGTTCTGTTTTAAAGTAAATGGATAAAACAGAGTGAAGAGGAGGAAAGAAAATAAATGCCACTATCAGGTATATTGACAGGAGGCACAAAATAAAAGCTTATTACTTTTCTTTCTTTTCCTGTTGCCCCCTCTAGTGATCTCTGTGCACGCTGTAAACGGGCAATGCGATCGCTGGATTCAGACCCTCAGAGCTGGACTGAGGCCCAGAGAAATCAGTAGGGCTTCAGTGCACACACAAGATTTTCAGAACATCTCAAAGGAAAAGGCCAGGAGCTGAAAATGTGCCAAAGCAGCAAGTTTTTTCCAAGTTAAAAAAAAAAAATTTGAAAACAGGAAGGACAGGCTACTTAGGTTGCCTTTACAGTATGTATCAGAAACACGAACTTCTGGCTAAAATAGAGTTGCTAAACCCATTACTCTGCCAAGAAGCCATTATAACAATTGCGATAGTTAACTGTCAAAGTGATCTCCACGGAAGCACAGAAAGCCTTAAGACATCCAAAACAGCCCTGAGTAAGATGCGCTCATTTTAGGCAACACACCAGGACACTCCTTATCCAAAATGTAATACTAACTCCTTACTCAAAACACATTACAGAAAGCGCAGTATATTTTTCAGGTCCATCAACCTTTCCAATACTGCAGATATAGCAACTGCCATGTGGGAACATCCTGCTATCCAACACAATGGCTTCCAGGGCACAAAATTCAAGTGCCATACGGGGTAAGATTTCCCGAACCCTTCCCAAGATGCAGATGTTACCAACACTTAACAACATCGGATGCTTTTCTTCCACAGTCAGTGAGATTTCCAGTTTTCAAAGCTGGATTTAAAGTTTAGGGAATTAGAACCCAAGAACCAAAACAAACCAATCAACCTAATTCTCCCATAAAGAAAAAATACTTAAAATTTCAAGAATGAATTTGTAAACCCACAACGTCTGGCTAACCAGTCTCTGGAGTACAATAAATTAAAGATTTTTTTTGAACATTTTTAGGCTAACTAAGTTCAATTGACTGGGTCCTTTTAAAGAGCCACATCAAACAGCTACATAGGCTTCTTGCAACAAAATCCATTTCTCACTCTGATGTCCAACTTAAAAGAAGGAAAAAAAAAAAAATCACAAAAAAGGAAATCTAAGATCAGTACTAAACTACTCTCTGAACAAACACCAATAGGTAAATGCAATTCCAGTGTCAGTTCTAAAAGACTCTAAAAACGTGTACGGGCAATGCCCTTTACAATGTATGAACATAGATTCGTCTTTGTTTTCTCCTCAGAGAGGCAATACAGTTGCGTCCTTATTTTCTTCCTTTTGACAGCTCACCCTCAGCAGAACCTTTGCTACTCTCCTGCCTCCGCAATGTAACATGACCACAAGCTTTACGAGATTCTCTGGCTTCCAACCGCTTAAGGCTATCTCCCTTGTTGGAATAACTGGTGTAGAGATGCTGGAGTTGGGGTAATTTTTTCCAGTTAAGAAGCCTGTGCAATAAATCCAACATGATTTAGAAACATACACAATGAGAGGGCGACACAGGAAAAAAACAACTCAAATTCAAGACAGCAGTAAGATGCAGCAGCAAGAGGGACAGTGAGGAACTGCTTAGTTATCACATGGATACTCACTCAGCAATGAATTCTAAGGGTGTCCAGGAGCTGAAATCTGCATCAGGCATTGATTTCCTGTTTGCTGGTGTATCTAAGGTAACCCTGTGATTAAAAAAGATAAGTCTGTTATTTATACATCATATTTCTGATGAGCGCCACCTGCTTCTATTCATTGCTGTAACATATGCTTACTTTTGTACCACATGGTATGGATTCCTCTTGCATCCTCTACATGTGTTAACAGCACATAGCCAGCAGTTTCAGTGCATATCAAAGGCTCCAACCTGTAAGCCCTCACCTTCCTTGCTCGCTGATGAAATGCAGCCCATCAGGGCAACCACTTAGCCCACAGCTGCCTTCCAGTCTCTCTTGTGCAGACAGGGAATGGCAGCAATATGCTGGTTCACATGCACTGCACAGCACAGACGCACTACGTCCACGCTTTCAGATAGCCGCATGCCAGCTGCAAATGCAGAGATTAAGTGCACAAGCACAGGAAGTTTTGCCTTTGACAATACATATTTTCGCTACACACAATGACATTAAGGGATGAATTTATCTCCCTCACTGAGATGCTGTTGTCAGTCCAAGGTATAATTTCTCAAAAACTCACTCATGAACAGAGCTTTGCATGAGACCTACACCAAGTGCAGAATGCCCAGAAGTCCAGCAATCTTGGTGTCTGCCTGTCTGTAAAGCTCTGTAGAAGGTGGTGTCAATTACCCAAACACTTCTAAGGCCGCTGAAGAAGTGTGCAAAAGAAAGTGTATGTGAGGAAAACAAAGCAGGGAGAACTCAGGTAGTGTTCCAAATCCCTATACAGAACTCTTTAGTCTGATGTTTGGGGTCCTAAACTAGATAAGGACCTGGCAAGAAAGATACTTCTAATTTTTGCAGCAGAATTTATAGATTTAGACATAGTGAAGACCTACTAGGCCATCCACTTTTTATCAACTTTCCTCATCAAACAGAAAGCTGTGGCAGGCAAATACAAGCTAAACTTTTTCTTTCACAGATCCTCAAAGTGACCTAATTTTACTGATCAAGCATAGATATCCAGCCCCTTATGAAGGAACACCTTTAACCAAGTCAAAACTTGTCAAGTAATACTTTGCTTTACTATTATCACACAGCTAAGTAAAACTGTGCTGAATAGCTCATCTCATTTTCAGAGTTCTGTCTACACTGAAAAAAAAAAATTCACACTTTAATGCATGGCTACGGTTAAACAGGAATCAAATTTTAATCCTAACATCCACTATTTTTTGCAAAAGCAAGCAAAAGAATTTAATAATTTTTAGGGTGATTGCATATCATTATGTTCATATGTTCAAGATACCCCCTTTCTCTGTAAAACTAAGTAGGTCTGAGAAACTGTTTGTGTACTGTGAACAGGACATTGCAAACACATCCACGTGACTCTAGGTTACAGCAGTAATTAAATAAAACAACGCAGGCAGAGGCAACTATGCAACCACTTACGGTAGAATGGCAACAGCAGCAGAACCAGATGGCAAGCCACTATTGGCACCAGCTAGACTCTGACAAAGCTGGTGCACCGCTCCTTTGGCCATGCCATAGCCAATCATCCCTAACAATTGAGAACAGGCAGATTAGAGCACATTCAAAACAGCTCTCAGTATCATCAGCAGTGAGAGAGAAATTCAGATTGTTTGATGAATATTAAGACCACTTACCCCAGCCAGAACAGAATCAGACTTTTAAAACATATCAAAACATAAACATTAAAAGAAAAAAGAAAAAACAGAAAGCTCTTACTAGACATCCAGGAACTATCATAAAATTCAGTTTACTCAGCATTGCAGAAATAAGCAGCTTACTAAGTATGCTTAGTTAATGTATCCAAATGTACCCTGAAGGATGGGACCTACAGGGCTAACCTTACAAATCTAACAAAGTAAGTGTGAAGATGCTCACAGACTTTAACAACGCAATCATCCATTCATCTTAGTCATATGACTAAGGTATTTGCAGGTTTGGACCCAAACAGACACAGCTCACTTCCCTCCAGAACTGTAATTCACTGGGTCAGCATCCCAAGTCTGACAGGCCCTTTGGAGAAACTACAAAAAAACCCCTCATAGTAGACAATCACTCAGTAACCTGCAGGTAAAGCAAACATCTTCCTAAACACTGTTGCTTTCCAGGCAGACAGTAATTAGCAGCCCAAGAGCAACAGGAGTGAGAGCGTAAGGCACGCTGGTCAGGTACAAGATGCGGACAATCAGGGTGCTATAGGTCTGAGATGTCTCACGGTATGTATCTGCCAAGCAGCCTAGACACATATTAAGCACATAAGAAAAAAATTAATGTATTTTGTCTACTACAACTAGACGCCTTTTTACCCATCTGTGTCACTACACAACCCCTTTTCCATGTTCCTGAGGAAGTATTTTGTATCAAAGTTACAAAGGTAATTTTGCATTATAGAAGTGTTTCCATTATACTAAATTAGATATATTGTATAACATCCATTTTTATTAGGAGGAAAAGTAGCTAACTTATTCTACTGTTGCGATAAAAATATTTGCATCCCTATCACATTCCCCTTGTCTCATCTAAATAAAAAATTCCAAGTCCTCTTAAACCTTTTCATGCTTCTACATTTCTTAGTCATCACTGTCAGACTGCTTCTATAACTGTTTATATTCAGAATTCTTCCATTTGCATTATGCGAGCCAACATTTTCACTCAAAAAAGGAAAAAACACACTAACAGCAGACAAGAAAAAGATGATTCCTTCCATAACGGCTGGTAGTAACAAGCCTAACAAGTCAAATTTGCCAAAGTTGAGTAACAA